AGAGAGAAAAGACAAGGCACATACTGGGAGAAAATATTTACAGAGCACATATTTAGTGAAGGACTTGTATCCAAAATATACAAAGAACTCATAAAATTTAACAAGAAGAAAATAAACAAACCAATTTCAAAAAATGAAGGAAGTTCTGAACAAATTCCAAAGAAGATATGCAGATGACAAATATGAACATGAAAAGGTTTTCCACATCATATTTCATTAGGGAATTCCAAATTAAAACAAGAATGAAATATCACTACACACTGAAGAAGACATTGGCCTTGAAGTAATAGATGGCTTCATCCACAATATATGTATCTTTTGTTTCTCTGGGGGCAGGTCCTTTGAACTGACTTCTGATAGGTGATAGGGCCATGTTTCCAATGAGTTTGGTGTTGGGGTCCATGAGAGAAGATTGGTAAGCCAGTATCTTGGCAGCACCGGGGTTTGGACCCAGAGGAGTAGAATCTAGTTTGTCAGTGTCTTTTTAAAATACTCAGTACAAAGAGCAAACCCCATTGTTCTGTAGACTTTAGTTAATAATGAAATCCCAATATTGGTTCATTAGTTGTAAAAAGTGTACCACTTTAATACAAGGTGTTTCAATAGGGGCAATAGTTTGTGTTTGGGGTAGAGRGGAAGTTGTTGCATACAAATGCTATGCACTTTGACTAATTTTTCCTTAAACCTAAAATGCTAAAGGAATTCAAGGATAATTTGAGGTTTTTATATAARTAGTGTAAAGATGTAAGTAGAGAGGTGCTCACTGAAACTTTTTTATGTGAAAAATCTATTGAAAACTGTAAAATACAAAGGAAATTGAAGGTGAGACAAATAGAAAAATATTCTGTGCTCATAGATTGGAAAAATTAATGTTATTAAAATATCTGTCCTATCCAAAGTGATCCACCAGTTCAATATGGTCCCCATCAAAATTCTGCAGAGTTTCCACAGCAATAGAATAATGAATCCTAAAATTTGTTTGGAATTACAAAAGACCTAAATAGCCAAAGCTGTCTTGAGCAAAAAACTACAAAGCTGGTGGCATCATATAATTTGATTTGGAAATCTCCTYTAGAGCTGCAGTAATCCAAATAATCTGGCACTGGCATAAAAATAGACACATAGACCAAAGTAACCAAATAGAGAACCAAGAAAATAAATCTTCACATTTATGGTAAACTGATTTTTGGCAAAGATGCCAAGAACACAAAAAGGGAAAGAATAGTCTCTTCAAGAAATGGTGTTAGAAAAACTGATTAGCCACGTGTCCAAGAATAGAATTTGTCCTTATTTCACACCAAATGCAAAAATCAACCCAAAATGGATTAATGACTTAAATGTAAGAACTCCAAACTGTAAAACTGCTAGAAGAAAACAGAGGAAGAACTCTATGACATTGTCCCGGGCAGTGATTTTTTTCAGATATGACTATAAAAGCCTGAGCAATGAAAGTGCAAATAGATGAGATTATATCAAACTTAAAAAGATCTGCACACCGGGCTGGGGATGTGGCTCAAGCGGTAGTGCGCTCGCCTGGCATGTGTGCGGCCCGGGTTCGATCATCAGCACCACATACAAACAAAGATGTTGTGTCTGCCGAGAACTTAAACAAATAAATAAAAAAAATTAAAAAAAAAAAAGATCTGCACAGCAAAGGAAGCAGGGTAAAGAAACAACCTATTGAATGGGAGAGTGTATTTTGAAGCCATACATCTGATAGGATATCAATATCCAAAATTTATCCATGTGTGGATAAATGTACCTGTAGTCCCAGTTACTGAGGAGACTGAAACAGGAAGTTCAGCTTGGCCCCATCTCAAAAACAAACAAACAAACAAAAAACACTATAGTTTATAAGAAACTAAGACAATTTTATAGTAAGAAAACATATACCCCAATTTAAAAACGAGCAAAGGACCTGAACAGTCAATTCTCAAAATAAGACTTACTGATACCCTATAGGCATATAAAATAATGCTCAACAGATTCGCAAATTAAAAACATAATAAAATATCACCTCATACCTGGTAAAATGGCTAGTATCAGTAAAACCAACAATGGGAAGTGTTGGTGAGGATATGGAGAAAAGGGAACCCTTATACACTTTTGGTGGCTATGTAAATTAGTACATCCATTAGGGAATATGTGGAGGTTCTTCCACATATTCTAACGTATGATCCCGCAATTCCACTATTTGATATATATTCACAGAAAATTACATCAGTGCATTGAAGAGATATCTGCACTCTCATGTTCACTATAGACTATTCATAATAGTCAAGATATGGAATCCACCCACGTGTCCATTAGTGGGTGGATGGATAAAGAAAATTTGGTATRTATACACAATGGAATAGTATACAGCTGAAAGAAAGAAGAGTATTCTTTCATTTGTGACAATTTGAATGAACGTGGAGGACATTTTGTTAAGTGAATAAAGCAGGCTTATAAAGACAAGTGATACATGATCTAACATGTATGGAATTAAAAGTTATTGAACTCATAGAAACAAAGAGCAAGAAGAATGTTTTGGGGGGAGGGGCAGAGGAGTGTTTGCTTAAAGATTACAAAATTTTAGTTAGATAAGAGGAATTAGGGGCTGGGGTTTTGGCTCAGTGGTAGCATGCTTGTGTGTCATGCATGAGGCACTGGGTTCGATTCTCAGCACCACATACAAATAAATAAAATAAAGGTCCATCAACAACTTTAAAATATGTATATATATATATATATATATATATATAGAGAGAGAGAGAGAGAGAGAGAGAGAGAGAGAGAGAGAGAGGAATTACTTCAAGAGATCTATTGTACCGCCTGATGACCATAGTTAAAAACAATGTATTGTGTTCTTGAAAATCTCTAGAGAGTAGATTTTAAGTGTTTTAACTCCAAAAAAAAATGATAAATATGTGAGGTAATACATGTGTTAATTAACTTAATGTTTATTATCTCATATATTACTAGCTTCATTTAGCTGTAATAATATATCCATATTTGAAAATGTCATGTTGTACATAATAAATGCATATGCTTTTTGTCAATTAAAAATAAATTTTTTWAAATTTTGCTCTATAAGTAAACATAGTCACTACTTACGGTATGAAAATATATTATGAAATTATACAGACTTTAAATAAGTGAAATAATAAGTGAGGGTACAAGTTAACCAATTAAATCCCATGTTTCAAGTCTGTGAATGTTTGATCGAGATTGACATAGGTGCCCTAAAATAGGTTGGAAATAATAATCTAGAACTTATTTTTTATTATATTAATTAATGTTAATGTTATAGCTGTTAGTGTAATATAACTATGTTCTTATTGTTACATAATCATATATTATATACTATGCTAAAGTTTTTATAGTGTTTAATATCTGAGAAAATGGAATGAAATGGATTAAAAAGTAATTGAGGAATCAGAATTTACAGGACTCCTCTTCTGACTATGAACAAAAGAATGGAGTCAAATGTGTTGCTTATCTCTGTGCTTTGGTTTGAACTGAACATTGAAGAGTAGAAAATAAGATGCGTCTAGACCTCAACTTACTTATTTCAAAGTTTATAGGCATGGAGATGTCCACAAAGCAATAGATATATGGATCTTGAAATAGAATGTGTTTGAAGGAGATCTATCTATATTGAAGACTGGTACTGGAAGCTATAAGAATTAATTAGATAAACCAGGAGCGGTGGCGCACCCCTTTGATCCCAGCAGCTGAGAAGGCTGAGAAAGGAGGATCATGGGTTCAAAGCCAGCCTCAGCAATGTCGAGGTGCTAAGCAACTCAGTGAGACCCTGTCTCTAAATAAAATACAAAATAGGGCTGGGGATGTGGCTCAGTGGCTGAGTACCCCTGAGTTCAATCCCTAGTACCTACCCCCACACAAAAAAGAAATAATTAGATCACTCAGAGAAAGTGAAAGAATGTGTCCCCAGAGGTGTCAAAGCAAAGTCATGGAAAGTCAGAATTTCCTCTTTTCTTTAATCCCCTCCCCTCCCTGCTTCCCTTCCTCTCCCTTCTTCTCCTATTGCTGGAGATTGAACCCAGTATCTCTCATTGCTAGGCAAGTGCTCAATCACTGAGCTACATCTTCAGCCTAGGAAAACAGAATTTTAAATGGAGAATATTTAGTAGAGCTGGAGTAAGTTCAAACTGGAAAATAAATATTGGATGTGGTAGCAATTAGTTAATGGATTCCTGAATCTGTCCTTGGTGATGGATTATTAGTAATAGAATCCTCATTGTTCTGATGTACTGCAGACTCATTTGTCCTGAAAATATTATTTCCTAGGTAAATAAATTCCAGAATACTTCTTAGAGCATTTCATATGCTACTGTACATCATATATCTCTTAATTTATAGAGAATCTCCAATTTATGTGATTTAGGAATCTTTACTATTTGAGCATATTTTAAGATTAGTGTTATATAAAACACATTTTAGGAGACATAATGACATATTAGTCTTTTTGAAATAGATTGATAGTAAAGAAAGCCAAGAGCTATTACAATAAGTAGTGCGACAACATAACATGAAGTTGAAACCTAGGGATACTTATAAGCAATGTGAAGAAACTAGAGGATATAGAGAGGATAGTATTGCTAGAAGGAAGCTCTCGAAGTCCCAGAAGAGTAAAAAAGGGACTAGGATCCTGGAGAAGGTTTGCTTTTGAACAGAGATAAAGCAAGAAAAGGGGTACAAGCTTCTGAGGACAGTGAAGGCAGTTTGCTCATTTAGTGAAGCAAAAAAATGTTTTCTTGMAGACCAAAAAATAAAAAATAAAATAAAATAAAAAGAAGAAAGGAAGGAGACAAAAGATAGAAATAGCCACATTGCACTTTTGGAAAAAGAAAAAATTAATAGAGACTGTAATATGRCTCAGTTTCCAGTTGTGAAGCTCACTGAATATAGATGTGATATGACTTCAAGTCATTTAAATTTCTGCCTTTTTCAAACTGGAAACTGAATTATTTTTAAAATTTCATATTACTTCACAGGATGCTAGGCATGCAGCTGAAGAGGAGATTTATACCAACTTAAATCAGAAGATTGACCAGTTTCTGCAGCTGGCCGACTATGACTGGATGACAGGARATTTAGACAACAAAGCAAGCGATTACCTTGTAGACCTCATTGCCTTTCTGCGGAGCACCTTTGCTGTATTCACACATCTTCCTGTAAGTGACAGTGCCTCTTACTTTGCTCTTTGATACAGCAAAAAAAGTTCCTTGAGCTTTAATTTTGTGAAAGATATTAGTTTCTGAATTAACTTACTGTTTGGTATAAAAACTCACACTGTATTCATCAAACCTTAGTGATATTTTCCCTTTACTTTTACATTTTGTTTATTTTGAAAATGATCCCTACTGTCCTGTCTTGCTATTAACTTCAGGATAATTAGTACAAAGACATAATGAAAGCCTTGGTAGAAATAAAAGAGAAATATCAGAGTCAGAATTTCCATATATATATATAACTTAGAATCTTTTAATTTTTTATAAATTGAAATTCTCTGATATAATTTTTTGCTTTTTAAAATCTAATTTGTCATTATTTTCTTGAGGATCATAGTTATAATTATTATAGCAATGTGTACTAACTCATGTATTATTTATCTACATAGTAGTGGAGTTATTTCTGATTTTTTTCCTTGATTTTTCTGTCATATGTTTCTGTGTCTTTCTAGTATTTTTTTGGTTGTTGTTAGACATTCCTTTACTGAATAAGTAGAAAGGGTAGGCAGATTGTGGTTTGAGATCAGTTAGTCCACTTATGGACTGATGTGGGCTAAGCGTGTGTTGCTGATGTCCTGAATGGTTGTTTGTGCCTGTTGCTGGATATGATTCTACTGGGCCTTTTCTAAGAGCTTGGCATTGTCATCATCTCTTCAAAACCAAAGAGGATTTTAGAGATTTTTACATTTTAGAGAACCTTGTCTATTCAGCTTTCTGCCTTCTTTGGTTTTAGATAATTTGACAATTGAGAAAGGAGTATTAGCCATACACCAAGTCAGCAATTAATAACAGGAAGAAAGTGTGGTTGTAAGTTGTCATTGTCAATTTTCCGTTCCTCTAAGAAAATGGTTCTTCCTGTGGTCTGAATGTATACCCCCCAAATTCACATGTTGATACTAATGACCAATATGAGGACAACAGAAAGTGAGGCCTTGGGAGGTGGTAGATCATGAGGGTAGAGCTCTCATGAATGAGATTAATTAACTTATAGAAGAGGCTCCAGAAAAGTGACCTTTTTCTTCCAACATGTAAGTATGCAGCATGTAGATGCCTTTCATGAAATAGCAAGTCAGCTCTTACCAGACAATGAATCTGTTAGCACCTTGATTCTTGGACTTCCKAGCTTCAACTACTGTAAGAAATCAATTTCTGTTGTTTATAAGCTTTCCAGTCCATGATGCTTTGTTATTGCAGTTATAATGGACTAAGACACTGCCTACCTGAGATTTTTCCATTTGTTAGTATTTTTCTCTGAAACACTGGGTGACTATGCAAAATGTTTTCAAAGGMTTTGATTTAATCCTTATATTTTTCAATGATGTAGATTTGGAACAGAGCAAAWGTCTTGAGAGGAAAATTGGCCACCAAAGCTCTAATGTTGGCATTCTAACTCCTTGGAACCAGCACAAATTTAATGGTTTATTTGACAGCTTGTTGCTAGTATATACCTGGACCTAACTTCAGTTCTCAGTCTGATGCCTGTGCTGAGTTTTGACCAGTGCCCTCAGAGACAACTGCAGATCTTTAGCTCAGGTTTGTAAGGTTCTGCCTTCTCTGCAGTTATATTCTGTTCAGCTTTAATAGTATCCTTAAAAATTTCATTTTTGGCTACATTTTTTACTGGTTTCATGTTCTTAGWAGGAAATTAGGTCATTTCATCTAGCTTAATTGTAATTCCTAAGCCAGACAAAACTCCCACAAAAAGCCCCAYAAATTAATCTGACAATTATGGATAATAAATAAATAATTGAAAACAATTCTCAGTGTTTTAAGAAAGTAACTTAGTGCTATTCTATGGGATTTATTCTAGGAATGCCTGGATGGTTCAATGTTTTAAAAATTCTATTAATATGATTTATCACTTTGCTATGTGAAAGAGATAAAGTATTGATTTTATCTGATGTTTTTCTCTCCAASACTTTAAAATTCTAYCCTTATTCTGTATGCTAGGAATTTTCATTATAATGTGCCTTGATGTGGGTCTGTTTTAGTTTTGTATATTTAGGGGTCCTATGAGYTCTTGTATTTGATTTCCATTTCATTCTTTAGATTTGGGACATTTTCTGATATTATTTCATTGAAAAGATTGTGCATTCCTTTGGTTTGTATCTCAGCACCTTCATCTATTCCAAGAAATCTTTAATTTGTCTTTTAATGTTATCCCATAATTCTTGGAAGTTCTGTTCATGGTTTCTTAGCATCTTCTCTCTGTGGTCAGCTCTATTTTCAAGATTATATATCTTGTCTTCATTGCCTGAGGTGTCTTCCAAGAGGTCTAGTCTGTCAGTGATGCTTTCTATTAAGTTTTTAATTAGGTTTATTGTTTCCTTCATTTTGAAGATTTCTGCTTTTTTCAGAATTTCCGCCTCTTTATTGAAATCATCTTTTACTTCCCGTATTTTCTCTCTGATTTCATTCATTATGCTGTCCTTTGCTTTGCAGATGAGTTTAATGATGTACATTTTAAACTCCTTCTCTGACATTTCTTCCATTGTGGTGTCAGTGGATTCTGTAATTGGAGTATCTTGGTTTGCTTAGGGTGATTTGTTGCCTTGCTTTTTCATCTTGTTTGTGTGCTTACCCATCTAAAAGTTCGGATCTGAGGCAGTAGAGTTTCTACCCTGTGGACATATAATGTCCCTGAAGGTTTCTAATACTCACTGTTTAGGGTGAGGCAAATAATAACAATAACCAATGCAAGTAATATACATTGAAAAYAGTTCCTACTATGACATCTACAATGTTAATTATCACAATAAACAGAAATTATATGATCAGTTATTGCCTATAATAAAAACAACAAGTTTGTAAAAGGGTTTATAATTTCAAATGGTAGACAGAGAGCAGAAGTTATATAGGATGTAATGACTGCGAGGGAGGAGAGAAGACAGAAGTAAAAGATTAAAGGAAGAGTGAAAGAACATGGAGGTTAGCTGTTAGTGGGAGAAAAGAGAGAATCAAGGGAAACAGGTAGGACAAAAAATATATAAAGTAAAATAAAAAAATTAAAAATACAAAACAAAACTAAAACAAYTGAACAAACATCCTAGTTTACAAAAAAACTAATCCATGAAAAATAACTGGCCAGTTGTGTCTCACCCAGCTCATCCTGGGAACAGTGGAATTGGAGGAGGAGGGGTAGAGCCCKGTGGGTTTCCAAGACCAGTTGTCCCCTGTGTAAACTTCTCTCCACGTTTGATTCTCTCCTGATCACGTAAGCACACTCCATGTCGTGCAGTGTGTGTTTACTGGGCTGGGATTTCAGGCCAAACTTGGGTTTACCAGGAATTAGCTTCTTCAGATGCTGGCCCCTGTGCCAAGGCTGCAAAATGTTTCCTTCCTTTGTCCTCTTCAGGCTGCCACCTGGAGAGATGGCAGCTTCTTTCCCCACACATGGATATCCTGCAGCAAGTCTTTCAGGTTTGTTGGGCAATGTCCTTGATCTTTAAACATTCCATTCCCATACACACTTCAGTCCTCTCCCAAATTCTGGTTCCTTTAATTTCCTTATTTCTCCACTATGCTGAAAAAAAGGCCACTCGGGCTGGTGCTTCAATCCCTGGCACAGTCCCCCCACCCCAGCCCCCCCTGCCAAAAAAAAAAAAGAATGCTTTAGAAATTACATTAAATAACATGGTTAGCTGGGTCCAATGGCACATATGTGTAATTCCAGCAACTGGGGAGACTGAGGCAGGAGGATTGAAAGTACAAAGCCAGCCTCAGCAAATCAGCAAGGTCCTCAGCAACTTAGCAAGACCTGTCTCAAATACAAAAAATTAAAAGCAGTGGGGATGTGGCTAATTGTTTAAGTGCCTGGGTTCATTCCCTGGCACAAACAACAAAAAATTAAAATAGAATAAATTATAATTGTTATAATGTTAGCAGGAAGAGTGAAGCAGGTGGCATCACTATACCAGACCTTAAACTATACTACAGATCAATAGTAACAAAAACAGCATGGTATTGGCACCAAAAACTGGAAATCCATGTGCAACAAAATGAAATTAAACCCCTGTGTCTCACTATGCACAAAACTCAACTCAAGGTGGATCAAGGACCTAGGAATTAAACCAGAACATCTCTGTCTAATAGAAGAAAAGTAGACCCTAATCTTCATTATGTGGGATTAGGCCCCACTTCCTTAATAAGACTCTTAATAGTGCAAGAATTAAATCCAAGAATCAATAAATGGAATGGAATCAAACTAAAAAGTTTATTCTCAGCAAAACAAACAATCTGTGAGGTAAACAGAGAGCCTACATCCTGGGAGCAAATTTTTACCCCTCACACATCAGATAGAGCACTAATCTCTAGGATATATAAAGAACTCAAAAAGCTAAGTACCAAATAAATAAATAAATAAATAAATAAATAACCCTATCATCAGTGGCCAAGGACCTGAACAGACACTTCTCAGAAAAGGATATACAATCAATCGACAAAATATGAAAAAATGTTCATCATCTCTAGCAATTAGAGAAATACAAATCAAAACTATTCTAAGATATTATTTTACTCCAGTCAGAAAGGCAACAATAAGTGTTGGTGAGGATGTGGGGAAAAAGGTACACTCATACATTGCTGGTGGGACTGCAGATTGGTGGCAGCCAATATGGAAAGCACTATGGAGATTCCTTGGAAATCTGGGAATGGAACCACCATTTGACCCATCTATTCCCCTCCTTGGTCTATATCCAACAGACTTAAAAACAGCATACTACAGGGACACAGCCACATCAATGTTTATATAACAGCACAATTCACAATAGCTAAATTGTGGAGCCAACCTAGATGCCCTTCAATGGATGAATGGATAAAAAAGAAATGTGGCATATATACACAATGGAATATTAGTCAGCAATAAAAGAGAATAAAATCATGGCATTTGCAGGTTAATGGATGGAGTTAGAGAAGATAATGCTAAGTGAACTTAGCCAATCCCC